TTCTGTGATAGTCCTCTTCTGTCAGTGTTTCTTTAGTTTGAATGACTTTTTTAACAGTATCCCCAAAACATGCATCGGCAGACAACACATTCTTTAGTGAAACTGCATTCACTAAGTTTGTTCAGACTTTTGCATTAGTCCATAACTCTTCTCCTGTTTAGCTTTTCACACTGTTTTGCCTAATCAAGCCTTTTTGCTTAATCACCTGACTGAAGCAACAATGTTACACAGCCACACATCCGCATACTGTACCTCAGCAGCTCTGAGGTGCTCTTTCCCTGTTGAATAAAACATTTGATTTTCTTATATTCCACTTTTGTGTGTTGTCCTATCGTGTTTGCTAAGCAGTACTATACAGGTGTCTTCAGCTTTTGATGAAAGTTTATCCCATATTATTTAGTCCTATGGAGACTTTCCACCAACAGTGGACTGATGTCTACTAATATTTATAACATCATGTTGTTCTATTTTATTGATAACATCTACATGGTAAACACTTTGGTAGATAATATACGTCTGGAATACTTCACCATTTTCCCCCGATTTCCAGATATGTTACGGTGGCACCGAACCCATTACAGAAGGTGACATCACCCCCTCAGAACGTGTTGAAATAGATTGTGATTCAGGCGATTCTCCGGGAGAAACAAACCAACAAAAAAGGCAAAGGGACAGTTTGGACCTACTCAAGGTAGAAAAGGAGACACATCAGTTCTCCTCAGACCGGCCATTTCGCCCAGCACACCGACCAACCCTTTCCATCATCAGCCCACTGCCTGAGCAGCTCTCAATCTCAATCCTGCCGGGAATGACCCTCTCAAACAGCCTAGCCCACACCTGCTCCGTCCAGCTGAAACAAAACCTTTGTCGCCATGCATCAGTTATACTCTGGCTCTTATCATGGAATACTGAAACCATTTACCTTTGACTTACCAAGTACAGTAATTTAAACTGAATTTAAGGATAATGTTATATTATTTCACTTAATCTTGAATCGTGTATTGTTCTGGAATTGTGTTCTTCCAAACCACAGTGAGATTTTCATCAGAAACTAGTGATATTATCATTAAAACCTGAAACGCACTCCACTGACAAATCTCTGAGGGAGGCGCTCATCTCTTACTCTTTTCTATACCGAGAACTAGATTGTAAATTCTGTCAGAAAATCAGAAGCCATACGTTATATTTTTTTTTATTCGCTTCCACAGAATGCAAAAAAAAAATAGGAGTCCTTGTAAATATCTTAGAACTTTTCAATGGCAATATACTCTACTTGACTGCCTGTTTGGAGTTCACAATTACTCATTTGGGTTTACAGCATGTAAGCAAAGCTTTATATGGAAAAAAAATAAGTGAATAATCTTCAAAAGCACATTTTATAGATCCTGAGAAAAAGCACAGTATCAGTGCTTTAAATGTTGTTATTCTAAGGTAGAATTTACTGTCATTGGTGGATGACACATTGTATAATTTTAATGCGTTGTGAGCTCTACCTTTTGCTATACACTTATACAATACCAGATAAATAGAAAATAAAATGTGTTTACGTATCCTTTGTCATATAGCGATATTACATAGTCCAAAACTCCAACTCCTACGCAGGCCGATAAACCGGAGTGGGGCAGGAGGTCCTATCTTCACAATTGCTTTGAGTGCTTTGATAGTAGTGTGATTAAAGCTTCAGTTTTTCTGATGATTAATGCAGAGGATGGGGGTCAGACCGAGCCATTATAGTGAAGGCTGCCAACAGTGTTTCTGTGGTAAGACAACTGTAATTTATTAATTTATATGAATGTGTTCTATACACTCTTTTGAATGTTGGATCATAATACGTGTACACATTCCAAGAGAAAACTGCTTTTTCATATCCATAGTAATTAAACCAGTTAATTACCAAAAAGACCAGAGATTTTCCTCATACAAAAAGAACACCATTTCTTTTCAAGGCAGATAGATCACCTAAAACTATTGTGAACAGTATGCTATTATGTTCTCGGTTCACGGCTTATAGCGAGTGGGCAAAGGTTCACTTGCCCTTCTTTCACAGAGGGCTTCCCAGTTGCAAAAAAGGCACAGCATATGGTACACAAAAAAATATAACAATCTGTTAACAAAAGAACCACAAATACCATTTAAAAGTATGACAAATTCTAGTAAAGAGGCAATGCTTCACAAAATTGACCCAGGCCTTCTTTAGGTGTCAAGTGAGGGTGTCACCTGAAGAAGGCTCCACGGCCGAAATGTTGTGTTTTCTTTCTTCTCTTTTCAGCATGGAATAAACCTTTACTTGTTCCTTTGCAGCCTACGCATGCTGATACAGCTCCCCACCTGAAGTAGATCATCAGATATACTAATAAATTGGGTCTCGCAGCTAACGCACACTGTACATACCTGACTGGTGATGTCTATTCTCCATGGGGTGACCTGTAGTCCATCACACCAGCCTCCTCGGCCATACAGCCATGTGCCATGCTCATTGGGCACAACCCCTTCCTTTACCGCCTCCGCACAACCAAAGGCAGTCCCTGGCAGAGACACAAAGGCATTTTACAACAGGATAAATCCGATTTCTCAGACTGGCGTCATTGTTCACAATTGAATTGTGCTGGGAAGACCAAAGCCATTATACTGTGGACAACAAGGCTAGGAGCTGCGTGAGATAAATGAATCTCCCTTATTTCCGACAGACAGGGGGAGAGATTATGCAAGTGCCCTCATTGCCACAGCGCTACGGCAGACTGCTGCTCGGCCTTTTTCGACAACATGAAATCGGGATCGCCAAACAGCAAAACTAAATTCCAAGTAAACAAAAAAAAATTAAATCAGTTGCCTTAAAATAGGGGCTATAACTGACTGGCTGATGCTTTGTAAGGCAGCAGCCATCAACAACCTCAAATCGGCTCTCACTGGCCGCAATGCCTTAAATAATTAATAAGCTCAATAATGCTCTAGTCTGTGCTGTTAGGGAAGGTCAGGCCAGGCGGAACATGAAATATGGAAACAAAAGAAATGTGCCGCAAGGCATGATTTAGGTGAGCATGGTAAGCTTACAAACGAGAGCACTGCAGCAGGGCGTCTACAAAGGGTGTGGATTTCAAGCATGTTCAGTAAACGCAGAACACATGGTCTAAAAAACGTCAGTCAGAATTATACTGAATATATAGGATTGTTTTTGCTAAAGAATAAAATATGAACATTCTTGGTTAGGAGGAGCCACTCATGAGTGCAATGTGAAGACTTCCCTCGCCTGTTTTTCTTTGGTTGTTCTGATGCTCTAAATACATTACCCAACAAACAGAAGGACATGGTACCAGAACAAAAAAACAATTTAATTGATGAATAACAAGGCATGACTTTGGTGGATGGTGGAATAATGCAGAAAAACTCAGGATCTAAAGAATCAACAGGGCACAACGAAAAATCTGGTTATTTAGGTGGTTAAAGATTTCCATGAGAATTTCTATACAGTCCAAAACAACAGGCATGGTATCTGAATTAGTGAGTTTGATAAGGTCTTTTAACACAATTAAATAAACTTTCAGATCTTCAGCTGAAGTGGAATGCTATAAAATATATATTTTCTATAATATATTATATTATAAATTTATATATATATAAAGACTAATAACTCAAATGTGTGCATAGTACTAAACAAAAGATTTCTGTCAAATTAGAATTGAAATCTCACTTTCTTAAAGACAGCACTTACAGTGGCTATCAAAACTATTTTCTGTTCTGTATTTAGAATTAAGGAGGATCTGTAGAATGTTTTCACTTTTGACATGATAGAATGTCTTGCGTTGTTCAAAGGCAAAAAATCCCAATGAAACACATTAAGGTTGCATTTTGTATCACAATATCCAAGTATCATACCCAAGTATCTATTAGCCTAATTTCCTCACTCGCATTATCTAAAGTTATGTCTGCTATATGATGACTGTTATTCAAAGAATAAATAAATCAGGCATATGAAAACAAAACTTCCAAGACCAAGAAAAATAATTTACAAATAAATACCGCCTTGCTCTGCAAATGAAGGGAGCCATCATAGGCACAGGACTTTTAATGTAATGAAGATTGTTATCCTGAATTTTAATCAGATAATCCACATTGATCAATGCTTTTGGAAACGAAGGGCAGTTACAGCCACATTCGTTTAATCTATGCACTGCTGACAGCAAAGTTAAAAGTAATTCAGAAATCTTGCTGATCATCTCTGGGAGCCCCAGAGCTGTATCAAAGCCTTCTGCTCTGAGGCTCTGTCGGTATGAGCTCAGATCATGATCTGCAGCACCTCTCCATCATGTGAAGTGTAAGAAGCAGTCTCAGGCCCACAATGCTGACATTTCCCCACTGCGCACTGTCCATTCTATAAATCAATCAAGGAGATTAAGAAACACAAATTGTGGCTGTCGAACAGATCATGCAGACCAGAGGTCAACCAGGATTAAAACTGTGAGTTTGAAATGCAATTATAATCTTCAATTATAAAGATAGTTATCTTTGCAGTAAAAAAAAAAAGAAAGAAAAGACTAGAAGAACGACTTCTAGTAACAATCACAAGCACAATTAGCAAACACCATATCGTATGATTTATTTTTAGACAAACAGCCCCCCTAAACAGTTTTTATATTTAGCAGGCTTCAGTGCTTAGTGTAAGCAGATTTGTGAAGAAGTTCAATAGAAGTAGTGCTTACAGTTCATTAGGTGACTTGAGACATAAACCTACCTCTAAATCTGGACTTAACCCCTTAGTAACTAATACCGCACTAGAACAAAATTAAATGGTTCACACAAAGCTTCATGCCAAGTTGGAGGGTTCTGTGATTTTAAAAGGAACCACTTGATTCTTGACTCTTGTTCTTGACTACACCTGCATCACGTGACACACAGTCAGGGACTTCATTAAAGACCATTCAACTGTGCAAATCTCATGTTAGTAAAATAAGTGAATAGGAAACCATATGGGCCTTTCTAGAACAACTCGCCTTTTCTGCTTCTGCTGAAAGTTTTCATGAGGATTATTAGTCTTGGAGGAAAGATCAAGAAGTTAATCCTATAGTTTCACATCAGGAGTGCTGGGTAATAAAATAATAATTGCTTACACTTATATAGCACTTTCCTGGACAGTCCACTCAAAGCGCTTTATACAGGAAATGGGGACTCCCCTCCACCACTACCAATGTGCAGCATATATTTTTTGAATATATTCTAGAATGAAAGTATGAAACTGTGACAAAAGTTGTTTTTTTTTTCCTGAAATTAAACCCTTAAATCACTCCGCTGACAGAGCTGTGGAAGTAAGATGGTTATGGTGCAACTCAGGGTTTCTTTTTTTTTTTAGTTCTTTTTGCCCCCCCAACCCCACTCAAAGCTTTTATCTTGGCTTTTAAGCCGTCTTCATGCTAATACGAGACCTGAGTGTTCTTTGTCAACACAGATGCAGACTTGTATTTAATGATCATTTTGCTATTTCTGGAACCACATTCAGATGAAAGGCATTTTGTGGCGAGGGAGGGAATATAAAGATGCAGCTAAATACGTTTTATTTGGCTCATTCTTCCCTCTTTTTTCTTGCACACACAGTATGAAATAATTTAAATGGACTTTAAATTCCCCACTTGGGCGTTACAATGTAAATTCCCTGGCAATTCTGAAGTCAATTGTCTGTCAGGTATCAACCCTTTCAGTCAATGTGCCGCTGTTCAGCGACTGGCTACAAGTGTCAGAAGGGCGGGAGGCTGCAAGATGTCTGATTCAGGGGAAAGAGATCTTGGACTGCAGACATGGAGCAAACCACCAGCAGACTGATGGCCACCGTCTCCACAGGGAGAATCAAAAGCGCTGATAAAAAAGCAATAGCAAGCTCATCATCTCCAGTACATAAGGCTAGGCTAGGTGATGTCATATAAGTTTCTGCATAAACTCATTTTTTTAATGACACCCAATTACAGTATTATGATTCCACGGGCTTATTTCATTCAGCCTTGAGATCAAACACGAAACCTACTGTACCGTACCTGTACTGGCTAGGTGGAGGCTTCACTGCTGATGGACAAGTAGATATCAAATGATTGTTAGATTCTCTTAACTTCTTTTAGTATGTATTCCTGATGTCAAATGCCAAAGTTGGGATGAAGTTGCCTTTCAAGTGAGGCTATTATTTTTCAATAGGATGTACATACCCATTTAAATTCAACAGCAAAAATAAAAGTTGTTACTTTGTCCTAAAAACACCAGATTAACAATTTCTGGTCTTGACTGGAGGATCATGTGTAGTTATTTGGACAGAAGTGTGCAACATATGAGCTGTTGCAAATATGGCAGAGTGTACAGCATACTTTTTTTTAACAATCAAGGCATGCTCTTTAAATCAGAATCCTCTCCAACATACTCATACATATTTTATTCTTTTCACGTATTGAGTTGAATAAGCAGTTAACAACAAAAGAGTTAATTAGTACTCTGAATATATTTCTAATTCAATGTATATCATGAGATCTGACTATTAAGTAAAAAAGGTTGGTTCAAAGAAGCTGTCATTTAAAATATTTTCTTGAACAAAACATGGAAAAGGCCAACTCTGATTATATCAAATAGCATCTTTAGCATTGGATAGAAATAACTAAGAAATCTGAAACAAAAAGCTAAAATGGAATAAAACCCCTTGCAGACAGCAGCTTTCCTGTAAGTAGCAACACATAGCAATTATAATCATTCTGTAATTAAGTAAAGAGCTCATCTGTGTATCTTTTTCAAAATCAGGGTCTACTTAAGTATAAGATGATGAAATTGTGAAGTTCATTATCATTAGGTTAACAATATATCTTGCGAGAACTGAAAAAAACACATTTCCTTTTGTAAGTGCTGAAGCAGAAGCTACTCTGTGATAAGAGGGGGTTTTGAATGCAAGAAAACTTTCTTAAAAGGGGTGGATGAGAAAATTTACAACAGGAGAGAAGATGGAGAAAAATATCCAGCTCTCCTGAGCTGGAATTGTCATGGCAACTTCCAAATGGAAGCCCTCATGACCCATAGACACAGACTGGATTCCTCTGTTTTACTGCCGTCTCTAATATCCTGGGACATTTCATCTTGACACCATTATTCATAGCTCTGAGATGAATGTCTGCAGGGTAGGCAGTTGCTGTTTTTTTATTAAAGTTTGTATAAAGGAAGGAATTCTACTTAAATACACTCTATAAGAGCTTTAGAGCTGCAATTTGAAATATTTTTTTTCTAGACATACAGCAGTTTTGATTTGTTTTTCCTCGCAAGAGCAGGGTACTTTGAACATAGTAAAAAGGAGTATTTTATAGTAATGAATGTTACTATAGAGTAATATCATTTATTACCAAAATGTGATTGTGTCTACCGTTACCAGTAATTATTTACAACGTGTTTGAACAAACATGTACAGTATACATACAGTTCATACGATATACTGTACAGTGCCCTCTAGATTTATTCACAATGGAATAAAAAAATAGCAGATAGCAGAATAGCAGAGAGCTAGAAATGGGTCAGTCCTACTTAAAAAAATAATAAGCTGTAATCATAATAGCATTGTACATAGCATTGTAGCATAGTCATCTTTGTCAATTTGTCATACGGAATTGAATGACAAACCACATTTCTTCACACCTATAAACTTTCTATTAATTCTATCCTTTAGAACTGGAATGGAAAACAGGATATGCAGATTCCTAAAAAGGTTTCCTTGTTGCATACAAAAATCGCCATAAATGTAGCGCAAAAAGGCTTGCATGCATTTTACAGAACACCGGAACGCGTCTAAGCTTACAGATGTGCAGCAGCAGATCCAGTGACTTCAGGTTTAAGGCATTGGAAATCAAGAATACCAAAATCAGAGGAGAAGCATTTTTGTGTTCTGATACGTGCACAAACAAGTCAAGGACTTCCAAAATAAATTGTGAAAACTTTCATGATTCAGTGAGCAAAATGTAGTTTTTGTTTGCTGTAATATCCAATTTTGTCGTGGGTGAATTCAAGAGTGCATTTAACACTGGAGAATTATTTTAGCTAAAAATCGCTCATGGTTCTGAGAGTAAAATGTGCTCATCTTACCGGCTTTTTCAAACACCTTTGAATGATTAAATTTGCTGTTGATCAGAAAATGATGAGATGTCACACAGAATTCGCCACATCCATTATCATCGCTCCCATGGCCCGTGATCACAGCATAAATTTCCACCTGAAAGCAAAGCATCACACACTGGATGACTTTCAAAGGGAAAGCTGGAAGCAGGAGTAATGCGCTTTAAACAAGATGAAGCCCGCAGATAATGGTGCTTTCTCACTGCTACTTGAAGACCAAGTACCGCACACTCATCTTGTACATGTCAGGGAGCAAAGCATGCCTAGAGACCTTCAGCAGGGCCGCGGCCACGACAGCTCAGTTAGACGAGAAGACAAAAGCAAGGCAATGAGTTCTGTTCTCCATGGGCACTTTCTGGGTATATATATTCTCTTTGCCTCCGAGTAGGCCCATTTCAGCCCATTTCATTTCTATTTTGCTTAATAATTATGAAAAATGATTAATCTGATCGGTTCTATGATCATTATTCGCATGTTCCAACAAGGAAGGACAAGCTCAGGGGTTCGCCAGGCGTTTGTAAGAAAAGTACAGTTTTACACGACTGAAAAACTCAGGCGATTCAGTAAATACAATTTTCCTTTGTATGCAGGATAAAGCAAATGAAACCCTTGAGATCAATGCCTCCTGCACTGCTGGAAAGATTTGTACGCTGGACCCCGTCGGTACCAGCTTAGACCCTTTAACCTTGGTTTTGACTACAGAGCTTGTCCTTGAGTTAATGTTGAGTTAGTGTTGCAGTCTCCACGGGCTATGGCAAACAAGATAGCTGTTTAATTTAAATACTACTTAATTTACATAGCAGCAACAATTATAAAAAGATGAAAAAACACTGAGAAAAGCATTAGGTAATTATACAAAACCCTTGAACATAATGTATTATAATTACGTTTATATAGTGCTAAAGGGTCCATAATGATCCAGCAGCAGCTGGAAAAGTGAGAAAACGCAACAACTGAATTAAAGGGGGTAATGTAGGGAGCCCAGGCTGCGAATCACCCAATTTTACCAAATATATTTTAAATATCGGCTTCACACCCAAAGAAGGCTCCACAGCCGAGATGCTGCATTTCCTTTCTTCTCTTCTCAGCATGAAATAAACCTATTACCTGTTCCTTTGCATATCTTTTTAATGTCTTGCTTAAAAGAAAATGTTCTAACCGTATAAATAAATGATAAAATGAGGACCTTCCTGAAAGAAACTGTTGAGCTAAGCTGTCTAGTGAACACAGCCAGCCCTGTATTCTGCATTTCATGACGTATGTATTGTACCTGCCAAAGCACAGGGAGCTGCAACCATTTTCACAATGGCTCCCTTTCTGATCTCTGTGGGGTCACCTAGACTTGATTTATCCAGGTCAGCAGATTTAAAACATGCGATCTCTCATTAGTGCCGGATTTCCCATTAGGCACTGTAGGCACATAAAAGGCACAGTGCCTAGGGCCTACGAAGGAGGGAAACAGCAGTGACTAACGAAAAACGAGCTGAAGTAACAATAATCATAGGCTATCTAGATGCTGTTCTAGAAACTAGAAGTAGTACTAGAAGTAAGTGATGGTCACTCGACTCGCCCCATCAATCACGTGTTTTAGCATTAGAAGAGTTTAAAGTGCATCATGTCCATCGACGTGATTTCATATGGCGTTTAACCCTCTTTTTGCCCATTTCTGAGTGAAAGTGCCTAGGGCCTACGAACACCAAAATCCGGCCCCCTCTCTCATACTCCTTGTGTGCCCATCCATCCACTTTCTAACCACCTGTCATTCAATACAGTGTCGCAGGGCAGCCCGAGTCTCTCCGGGCACGAAACGGGCGCTAGGCAGGATACACCCCGGACGGGACATCAGTCCATCATCCAAAAGCGAGATCTCCAATCTTTGCACGCTGAGAATCTTTAAGTAGGACATGCCGCGTTTCTTTCACCAGACAGGATGAAAGCAGGCATCGTCAGTGGTTCTTACCTTTCGAACTGCAGTGGGTACGGTGAAATTCACAGGCTGGTATTTTTTATTGTAATTCTTGTCAAATGTTCCTCCATTATAAAGTGGCTTCAGCAGGTAGGGACTTAGATCCCCTGAATGTTTCTCTGTCCAAAAAAGTATTAATTGATGTTAATTCACAAGAATCTTTTTATAGCAAACCTTTTCGTACTTTGATTTACAGTGCAAATGTCAAAATCAGTTGAAAAAATTTTAGTATAAAATGCTCATCTTGCATTGCTATTTCTCAGTCTCTTAAACAAGCTTGCATCATTTTTTATAAATGATTGCCTTTTAAGGTCAAAACTAGAGGCAAAAGAAAAAAAAGATATTAAATGCTAAAACTTTAACCTTTCTGCAAAATTTAGATTGTTTCCTTATGCCAACTTTGCCATGTCGGCATCACACACACAATAAGATACTGTATAATAAAATACAATAATGAAACAACCTGTATGCTTTAAATTGAAGGAATCATAAAAGAAAAAGATCTGACTTGCACAAAATAAATAAAATCCATTACTAGTAGACATCGCTCAGTGTGTTTTGCCAAACAAAATAACATGGGCTGACAAGAAAAAAAATGTAATTACAAGACTAATGAACAAGCTACACCAATCCAATTAAGCACTCTTTTGAAATACTGGACAGAGCTTGCCAGTTTGGAAATCAGCACTTGCAGAGCGCAGAAACAGATCGCACACCAATCGCATAAAAGACCTCAAGTTTCTACAAGGACACAGACTTTCCAGGGGAACTGCAATGCTATTTTTATATTTTGGGGTTAGAAAGATGAGTGCATTTCAAACGAGAACAAAAATAACATGTGCACAGTAACTTTTTCTACCTCCAATTTACTTCGCAGGATAGGCTAAATTTCCATGTATGCGCAGCTCCATACTGTCATCGTTGTCTGCAATTCAGAATGAGACAACAAAACGTCCGGTGACATGAACTGGCCCTATTACACTGTGAACAAGCAGGCTTGTGAATACTCTTTTCTCGTTTAATCCAATTGAAATATTTCTCTTGACTTCAAGATGGTTTTGCCAACAAAAACTTCTTACTTGTTAACTCTGCATGCAGATCGCACTGGAACATTTCTGCAGTGAAATTGCTGCACGGCCTGTACACATCAATGAATTTATTTTGATACTGAGATTTAATAACCAGAAACTGAGAAACTGGGACCGCAGCTCTCCTTTAAATGTGATGTGGCAGGGCAGTACTCTCCTGAGCAAAGCCTGAGCAAGAACTACTTACCTTACAGCTATCAAATTCAGTAGGGGCTCACTCACTATAGGAAGGGGGGAAATCTAAACTACCTGTTCCTTGTGTCAAAAACATATTATATTTTCAATGAGATTTTAATGTTATGGCTTTTTAGAGCAACATGTAACCATTTACGCACAGTACAGACACCCCTTTACCTTTGTTGTATAATGTAAATATTTGAAAAAAAAAGCATTTAAGTTATTGTTTGAACAGATAACTGTTTCAAGTTTAGCAATAACTACTTTGCATTCAAACAACTTTTCATTCCCCGTAGATTTCATTATGTCTTCAGACCTGCATACATAAGACCTATACCATGACCACAGAATGAGTTATGAGACTTGAAATCCCCTCAGTAGAATGCTAATATATACAATGAACCATGCATACACTCACCTTCATGATAATTTATTTTATATGCTACTATCAATCTATATAACGACCAAACAAAAGCACAGTGCAGGTTTCACAGTATTTTGAAGTAACACACCATACCACAAGCCAAATGAAAATCAACATTCTTTTCAACCAAAAACATTTTTTACAGAAACAAAGTCAGCTAAAACTCACTTTTACTAAATAACTGTTCAAATTTCACAAATGAAAACTAATAGAAGAAAATGCACATTAATACCAGCTATGTTAAACACAAAAAAAGGAAAGCATTAATTAACTATCAATTAACAAAGTTGTAATCTGTTCAGCTCTGAGCTCTTAAAACTGCTTCTAATCCTCCAATCTATGTGAATGTCACTCATCCAGATGAAAGCAGAGCTTTCATTGCTTTTAGGAGATAACTGAGAGGAGGAGCATCCTTTCTGTTCTAGATAGAATTTCCACTCCTCTGTATTAACAGTGACAAAATATCATTTCATTGACACTATTAAATCCACAACAATGTCGTTACATGGTAATGTTCCTTATTATCATACATCCATTTTCCAACTGCTTGATCCAATTCAGGGTCATGGGGAGCCAGAGATGGAGCTCCTAGATCCTGAAAATCAACTTAAATTAATCCTTTTTTTGGAAAGTAACAGACACAAGGCAGGATACAACCTGGATGGGACGCCAGTCCATTGTAGGACACCCACAGACACAGACGCACACACACCAACGCCAGGGACAGTTCTCCCAGAAGCTAATTAACCTACCAGTATGTTTTTGGACTGTGGGAGGAAACCCAGGGAGAAAATATAAACTCCAGGGAGACATCACCCCAGGCCTGGAATTGAACGCAGGGCCCCAGCACTGCAATGCAGCAATGCTTGTTCCTTATAACCCTCCAAGAAGAATCCCACTGAATTCTGGTCACATGTATTACATCCTGCATGACAGCTGTGCATCTTCAGTTATTGTTTGGGATCATAAATAATAAGCAGGCAAATGCTGGGAGAGACGGTTATATTGCTTTGCACAAATTACAATGGTGTTATACAGCACTACCCACATTCTGCATCTCTCCTCTACATCTTATCCTCCTCATACATAGTTCATTGTAATATCGGCCATGCACTATAAAACTAGTTTTGTCACAGCACAATGATATGGCAACTAGATTATAAGCATACTTAATTCATACTAAAACACAGTTAAATTATTTGCGATATGGTAACAATTTGTTTCTTCAAGATCAGAACACAGATGTTTGATATTACAACAAACACAATCTTAGTGAGTCAGATACTTTTGGAAATGTTTGTGTAATGTCATTACAAAATGTGTGCTAAAAGGATAATTTAATAATCATGTTGTTTGTAAGGACAAACTATTTTTGACTTGGTTACTTTGTATACTCGAGTAGAAAATTGTAAAAAATATAATTGCGTGTGTACATAAATCTTGGATCTTGAGAGCTGTATGACTCATATTGCTTTTGCAATGGTACAAGCAAAGACCCATGCATTAAGTAATGAGAATATTTATTTGTGTTAGGTGGTTATACTTAATGGAGCAGCTCAGTTGTCTGGGTTGAGTAATTTATCCTGACAGAATTCATTTACAATAAAGTGAATGAAAAAGGGCAAATACTTTCTGACTTACTTGTATTCCATTTGGTCACTGCTGGACAGAAATTTAGAAACTTTTACATGAGATACATTTGATTAGTTTTCCAGCACTGACTGAGATTTAAGATTTAAAATAATTAAATTGAATAATTTGAAAACATATTACTACATTTGTGACTAAAAGTCACAAAAAAGATTGTGATTAAGGAGAAAATTTAACACCTCTACACTTAGGAGAAGTGCCATGGGACATTTAAAGAGCAAGGACAGTAGTTGAGACCTCGGTTTTATTTTTTAGGTGGCTTGCACCCACCTACACCACAGCGTTTCCACTCAACACGGGGAAATGAGTTTAGAAAATTTTAGAGGAAAGAGCACCACCTACTGGTCCACCAACACCATTTACCACACTCAGACTTTTCTTCTTTTTCCCCACCCCACATGGAATAAACCCATTACTTGTTCCTTTGCAGCCTACGCGTGCTGACGCAGCTCCCCACCTGAACTACTACACACTCAGACTTGCTTAAATACTGGGATCTGATCAAATAAGAGGTGGGTGATGCTGCTCTCTTTTCTGATGAGGGTACTAAATATGTTATTTCCTGCAACTGAAATGTTGAAGTGAAGTGAACTGAAATGAACCTTTTTTTGTCTTATTTAATTGGAACCCCTCACCTGTCACCCTGACGACATCTTTGGTTTAACTTTCGTACATATTTACACTGCCTTTTACAGTGCCATTAGTTATCTGAAAGCATTACCAGCCAGCCATTTCCTGAGGAACTACTAACAGATCAAATCCCTACAGCTTCATCAATCTCTGCAGCTACAGTGGACTGTCACAGAAAAAAATGCCCCTTAAAACTTAAATCCAAGGAAAATAAAGATACCTTTAATCTGATTAAAACAAAACAAGGGGGGGGGGTACTATTTGTTGTGTTCAAAGGAGCTATCAAAAGGAAAGTCTCCAACTTCTTCAGATGAGAAAAAAACATTTCTCTATATTTCTTCACACAGAAACATGATGGAGAGCATAAATTTGTCAAATTCTGTCAGTTGCAGCAATAAACAGGACGGCATCTAACGTGACACATTCACTTTTGCAGATTAGGAGACATTCTGTGGTAATTATGAAGGGGGATGCAAGACTTTTTTCATATGTTACATCTTATGACAGGCTACACACAGCCACCTCGTATTCCTCGCCCCTTCTCAAAAACTTATTTTACTGTAATAATGTCGGGTTCGAAAAAAGGTACTGCTTGAACACCGGCAGGGCGCCAGTGTGTACAGGTCTGGAAGGCCGATCCTTCTTCTACGAGGAGATTGCATATTAAAAGAGAAGAGTAATCCTTCGGTAGCTGTTTCATAAATGCTCCAGGTCTACGCTCGAACGCCTGGGGATCTTAAATCGCAGCCCTGATTAGCCTCCGGTGTGGTAGCGGCGCAGTCCCACGCGTCGCGGAGTGGGGGGCGCAGGGGGAGGTGTGCTCCACCGTCACGCTACTGTTAAAGGCGTGTAGGAATAACAGAAAAACATGGAGTTAGAACACTAGAGAAAAAATATTTTAAGTATTTCTTTTATTTGGAGCAACACAGTCCACTACAAGGCTGCATACTTCAACCCCCTCGCTCATAATCATGACCGCCCACAAACATGAATTATGACTATTATGACTTTGAAGTGTTCTGTGTGTATTTATAGCATTGTTACTAGCCCCCGAATCTTATTCAGGGTCTACATTCTGAGGAGCATAATAAAAAAACTAGTTAATGATCGGGGGTGTTGCAAATAGTTTCTAATTTATTGCCTGAGTAAC